TTTGTTTCAGTACCTCATTGTATGATGATGGGAAGCAGTTGAACCAAGCGTTCAAAGTTCTAGGCCCCTTCTAACCCAGCAGGAGACCTCCATTAGACCACAGACTTGTCTACCTATGAAACAAACTCTTATAAACTGATGACTCTTAGTAATCTTTAACAGGAATAACCCTATTTTTTTTTTTACTAACAAGCCAGTGAAAACTACAGTTTTGCCTAAGTTATTTTTCTTTCTCACTTCTTGGTCCATCCTTTGTCTACATCCTAATTCTGGATATAATTTACTCTTATACTAATTTTCCATGTTATCACCAGAAAATAGAAAAAATCATTGAAAAGTTAATTCCTTGTAAGAATATTTGGAAAACACATCCAGCACATGGCCTTTTTTAGTATCAAAAAGTATCCTTTGCTGTGGTGAATATTTATAGCTCACTGTCTTGAGTCAGTGTTCTATTGCTGTGAAGGGACACCATGACCATGACAATTCTTAAAAACAGAAGTATTTAATTGGGAGCTTACTTACAGTTTCTGAGGTGGAGTCCATTATCATGTTGGGGAGCATGGCAGCATGCAGGGAGGTGTGATGTTGGAGCAGTAGCTGAGAGATAATCCTGATCCATAGGCCAATAGAGCCGCTGGACCTGGAGTGGACTTTTGAAACCTCAAAGTCCAATCCCAGTGACATACTTTGCACTGAAAGCACACTTCTCTTAATCCTAATTCTTTCAAAGAGTTCCATTCCCTGTTGACTAAATGTTCAAACATATGAGTATATGGCGGCCATTTTTATTCTAACCTCCACACACACTAAAGTACATGGAAGACACAGCAGCTTGTAATGTGTACTGGTTCCATATTATTACCATACACACTGAACACCTTTAAATCTTAATTTTGGGGTAAATCAGTTGATCAGTTTGTGCATCTGTCCTGCGGAAGAGATAGATACTTAACATATAATTTTGCAAAAAATAATTAACTAAGATACACCACAGTATTAAAGTAAAAGTTGGCACTGTGAAGATTGTTGGGCAGGATGTCGGACCTTGAAGTAAAGATGCCAATCAATGCAACATTTTTGCTATATTTCAGTCACTTTGTCCTCTTGGTGTTAAAATTTCTCAGAACATAAGGAATTTCTAATTTTCCACATAATAAAAAGCTCTAACAATCTGAAACCATGCTCCACACTATAATCTTCACTGATCCCATATGCCTTCTGATCTCTCACTAATTTATAAATTATTCTGAGTATTTTTCTGTTTTAAATACTTTGTACAATATTTATTAAGCCAACTATTACATTTTGGATATTCAGGGGTAAAAGTCACATGTTCCTGCACTGCAACAGCCATGGTTGGATGGGGAGATGTTAAAACTGGTCAGCACTGACTACTTTAAGACACCAACCCTGTAAGAACTGGGAAGAGTTAGCAAGTGTGGAAGATGGGAGTGGATGGATGGCTGTTGACTTCTGAAGAAAAATGGTAGTAGAAGACACCAAGCTCTTTCTTCATCTCCCCTCCCATTTTGAGGTTATAATTACATCTCCCCCTTCTATTTTCTCCCCCAGTATCTCCATATGCCTTTCCCAGTTCTCTTTCAAACCCATGACCTCTTTCTGCCATTAATTATTTCATATAATTATATGAATGAAATTCAAATATATACAAATATAACCTACTCAGTCCTAGGAATGTGTATGCATGTTTTCAAGGCTGACCATTTGGTACTGGAAAGCCAATATGTATGCCCTTCCCTGGGGAAGACCACCTCTCTGGCTCTCCACTCTCCTCAGTTGCCTATGGTTCTTTGTGTAAGGTTGAAGCCTCATGGACTTTTGCCTGTCCACATTGGTGTCACCCATGTTCAGCTCCTGCTTAGACAGTCATGTTGGTGAGACTTTATTGTTATAAGCCATCTGATCTTCACACTCTTACAATCTTTCTACCTGTGGGACTGTTTCATAGATGTATCTGTTGTTGTTGGAGAAGTGTGATGATATATTATTTATATTTTATTAAAGCTTGTCTGAGGATGCAGAAAGCAAAGCTAGCCACAAACTACAGAGGTCAGGTAGTGGTGATGTATACCTTTAATCCCAGCAGCCATATTATCTAGCTGGACAGTGGTGGCACATACCTTTAATCCCAGGACCCAGGAGACAAAGGCACATGGATCTCTGTGAGTTCAAGGCCACCCAGAGCTACACATGAGTGAATCAGTCGAAAAGAGAATTAGAGCTCATGACTTTAATCACAGTCCTAGAGAGGCATGTAAAAGACAGGAGCCCAGTGTCTCAGGCAGCATTCTGAGAATTAGTCTCTAGCCACGTTGAGGAGAGCATAGCAGTCTGAGTAAATCTGAGGAGCAGCAAAGTTGGAGCAGCCTGAGGATCGCCCCTTTGGTCTGATCCAACATAGAGATAAGAGCTCGTTGCTGACAGCTTTACTTTTCTGATTTTCAGCCTGAAGCTTGAACACCAATATCTGTCTCTGGGTTTTTATTATTTGTGTTACAGAGAAGAATCTACAACTATTACTCTACTAAACCAGAATAATCTCTAACAACAATTTTTCCTGACACAGACAGTATAGTCTTTATCCCTCGTCAAGGAAATTTCTTTTTGAAACATATGGAGACCAACACAGAAACTCACAACCAATCTGCATGCAGAGCAGTAGAGCCATGTTCTTTCTTAAAATAAGAGTTTCATCCATTCAGAGATCTGTATTAATACAGGAGAGGGTGGCATAAGTAGGAGTTGGAGAGATATAGAATAGGGATTATGGAATGTGGGAACTGTTTTTAAAACTCAAGAAAAAGCATCAAGGCTCCATTGGATTTACTGTAACTAGATCGTTCTGGGAGTATGGGTCCTGAAGAATGAGTTAGAAGTTGTAGGAGCATGGGTCTAGGAAAATGGTAATGAGTAGGAGAGCAAGAGCATTAGGAGAAATGGAAAAGTTAGGATGTCCTAAAGGGTAAGACCCTGTGAGGATGCACTGTGAGAATAGGGAATGTTGGGAGATTTCCAGGTATTCTACTTGAACTGGGAGGCAGGAGTTTCATTATTTATGATAGACATGAAAAACAGAAGCTCAGATTGGGATGTGAATAGGTGGGTGCTTTTCTGACTCTGCACCAGGTGGAGCTGCCTGGACAGAAGCTGAACCAAGGAGGGTGGCTCGCAGAAAAAAATGTCTACCCAGAGTAAATCAACTTGGACAAAGTAGTTGTCAACATATAAAGCAAGTTCTTCTATATCTCCTAGATAGGAATAGTCTCCCACCAAAAAGATGGCAGTTTAAAGTCTGGACTGCATAAACTCTTAATAGTTGTGTTTTAAGATTCCTTAATAATGAATGGATGAAGAAAACCTGTTATAGGATAGCAGAAGTACCCAACACAATCATTATAGTTTGTATGAGTGTATGTGTGGAACAGCTATGTACACACATATAACCATCACACATTTCGACTTAAAGAGCTGTCTCCAGATGCAGAGGTGGTGGTGGGAGGGTTCAATGGCTTCAGAGTATAAGCTTTGTGTGTGTGTGTGTGTGTGTGTGTGTGTGTGTGTGTGTGATTTACTCTCTATGGCAACATTAATACATTTGACATCCAAAGTGACATTTCCTTTGACAAAGAATATGCCCTTTCGTCTCTGTTACAAAAATTTCCCTTTGTCAAGGGAGGGAAAGGTTGAGTTTTAGATCTTATGACTATACTGGAGTATAAAAATATTCTTAAAAATAGAGTTTTTATTTCATTTTGCATGTTTTAATCCATTTACACGCAAGCAGCATCGTAGCCAATTATTTTTTCTTGCTGCATTCAAACCAGTCGGTAAATGCCAGGAACAGACATACATTCTTCCAGGATGACAAGCCACCAAGATGTGCCTTTCCAGTGAAGATGCTCCAAGGGAACTACGTATTGTTGACCTGTGGGCACTCAAGGCAATGTTAACTTTCACTTTGGTTTATTTTTAATGCTGGAACTAATTCTGTATTTTTAACCCTGGTCTGTTTTATAACTCTCTTGGATTTCCTTTGATCTTGTTCAACCTTTGTCGGAGTTGATGCTCCGTGCAAAAACTCCTAGGACTTGGGCAACCCTGGCCCAGCGGCCAGGTGACCGAGACTGGGTGGGGACCCGCGGAGTTCTGTGGGCGCGGAGCTTCTCGCATACCAATCTCCTCCCACCATCATCGCTCGCCCGGAGGCGGAGAGGGCTGCAAACTTCGCTCCAATCCGCAACCGCCCTCCCCAGGGTCCCCCTGCTGGGCGACCCGCCCGCTGTGGACTGGAGTTGGTGGAACTTTGCAGATAAAATGCTCCTGAGAGCTAGGGAGGGAAGCTCCCCGCCTCCCCACATTCCGGGCTCCCCGGCCCCCGCCTCCCGGTCCTCGCCCAGTCGCCC